TTTCAATCTAATATGATGTAAGTCTAGCAAGTGAGGCCCCTTAAAACCCTGAGGATACCTAAAATATTATGATAACAGGCTGGCAAATACACAGAAATGTGACTGAGTGCCCTGAAAAGGCTCACGAGATTTCCTAATATTTTGCTTCCGACCGATTAATCAAAATCCAACATTCTAGCAGGTCAACGTTCGCCGAACTCCAAATGGTGGCGTAAGCTTGCTTTAGAAATCTGTAAAGTAAAGAAACGATCCTTGGAGTAGCATCAGATTCCCTAAATAGGAATTGGGTAAGACGCATTCAAGCACACTTGGAGCAGAAAACCTGTTCCATTTATTGATTGAGACGCTTAGGACATATGAATACAGCGACTATTGTAACTGTACATTGCATGCATTTTCGCCTCCAAACACTCTTATCCTTTATTAGAAACTTAGTAAAACCATTTTAAAGCGTTCATACACAAAATGGAGAAGATACAATCAAGAGGTTATACTACAACAGGAATGAAGCAATCAACTCTCCCTCCCCTGTCTAATACGGCTCCTTATATATGCCTCGAGGGTTACTAACAAAACAGAATCAGGGGATTAAATTAGATGACAGATCACTGAATTCAAATTTCTGGACGAAGGTGGAAATCTATTCAGCCTATAGACTGTGGGTCGGGAAGTAGGAGAAGACATTGCTGGGACAAGTGTCTTATTCGTCTAAAGTCTCGAATTCACACTTGAATGCATCATCAGAGACTGCACAAGTGAGCCGCATAAAGGAGCATTGGCGCAACAGCTACATCATACCAATATTGCAACACTTGTGGAGCTAATAGATGGAAAAGAGAGCGATGAAAAAGGATGAAGCTTTGGAAAGTGTTCCAATTCCGTTAACATAGTAAAATAGATCCGTACATAACTTTGAAAGCGACCCGGAAAATTGAATACTGGCGAAATGTAACACCAAAAAACCAAGGGATGCTAAATATGGTGCCTGTAGAATAAGACGCCAAGTTCAGAGATCAAGGCATCGAAATAGGTGACAGAAACGCAGGAAGGAATGACGACGGCGAACCCCGTAAGAGCAAAGTGGGAACGTTGATCCGACGGCAGGACAAAATAATGCAGAACAGCGGAACAAAGGAAGACCGCCAAGGTGACCAGCAAAGATAAAGTATACCAGATTAGCGCGTATACCAACCGACAAATAAGCTGAATGTGATACTTAATCGGAAATTTATGTTATCTTGAAAAAAAAGACAATCATTACCAACCTATCTGTAACTTGTGATGCTTACTAACTTTAGGCGTTCACTGTAGGGCCGTCAAAACCCCAATTATTTATAACTCACACTGTTTTGCTTTTAGGACATCATAGCTCACACTACGAGGCACCTGGATTGGGAATTCAAGAATTCTTTGCTAAAGGATTTAGTACGCGTAAGGTTTCCTTTAAATGTACGGCGCACCCCTTCGACGAATATGCCTTCACCCTCTTGAACAGACCAGTTTATTTGTTTTCGGTGGCATGTTAGGCATCTCATTCACCATGCTGTTGGTCGCTTGCAGGCAGAATTGTCTCGACTGAGTCCTGTTTTTTTTAATTTAGGGCATGAATTACCTCCATAAGTCACCAATCAAGGTGCACGGAAGACTTAAATCCAGCAACTGTCTGATTGACGCAAGGTGGGTTTTGAAGATTACGGACTACGGAGTTGTCAATGTGCAGGCGATGTACGGTTATTTTCAGGCCTTAGCACCAGAGGGTAAGTGGTATGATGCATATCTAACATTCCCGACTTTGGTCTTTGTCTGCCAGAACACTATAGCATAGAGGTCCGTGGCATGGCGGGAAAAGGACTGGGTCCTCCATTCTTCCGAATGAAAGCATGTCTCAAAAGAATTCATGAAAGAACATTTTAAATAAGTAGGTATTGGCTTCATATGCATACTCAATAAAGGGACCTGCTCAATAGTTTTCGGGTTTGCAAGTAGACCAGACTTGTTCACCAGAGTACAGACCAAGTCAGAAATGACAAATAGGAAAAAGCCTACAGGACAGATGCTCTACGCGAAATTCATCTTTCGGGACGAAAAACTCCACACAGTAAGGTATGGTTACGGCTCCACTACATGCTAGCTCTGAGCCCTCGATGGCAGTAATGGTCCAACAAACGCGTCTGTTAACCTCGTCAGCTTGCTAATCGGAGTCGGCCGCTCAATAAGCAGAAAAGGATATTTCCAAATAATTCCTAACCGTAGACCCAGGCTTGGGACACCTCGCGGATCCTTCCATTGTAAATCTCTTCGGAAAGCTGCGCCTGGCCCTCTCATTCATCCTTACTGAGACGCGCCTCCTAACTTGACGTCATTCCATCCACTTCTAGATTGCCCGAGTTCTTAGTAACCCTTACCTTTATTAGAATCAACTGCGCAAATATGGTATGCAGCTGCTAACATCTCAAACCTTCTCAGTAGGCATGCTGGCATTAAAAGGAGGCCCCTCGGGCATATCTGCGGCCCCGACTCCGGGTAGTGTGATTAAGTGGCGGATAAATACTGAAAGGTTTTTTCTGTACTTCTAACCTTCCTTCCCCTCCATATCAATCACACTAGCTTGAAAGCCCTGCATTTGGAGATGCTAGACGGAGATGCATTTCGAGCTTGCCCTGCATGCCTCGGATGGGCAAACTGCTCACTTGCTCTGCTTGACCTCCGAATTTGTTTTATTTCGATTAGCACGGTTGCTTTTTCGCTGCATTAAGTTCACACCATCAGCTATACCTTCCTCTCGTAGGTGTGTTTGTGTCTAATTGGTCTGTCGCTGTCGAAGTGCAGTACTTGCGCCGAGTCTGTGGCTTTCGGGGAGACATTGGTTTCGCATTTGTCTCATTTTAACACCGAAAATGGTAGTTTGACGGGTCAGCTGGTTGCTCGCCGTTCCTTTCATCGTAAAACATAAGAAAAGTTGGAGTCGAGCTGTTTATTGGATGTCAACACCTGAGTCCGTTCAAGGTGACTCCATCACAAATCGTGCAGACAAAGGTATCAATTTTTGATGTATTGTCTGTTTTACAGAAAACAAAAGTTTCTTCTGCTTGTCTGTATCTTTAAATCCCGCTTTTATTCTCGTCATTGTCGTTTTACGCAAGGACAATAAAGGGAGCCTCGAAAGGACTAGCTTAGTTAGTGATATAACAAACTGGTAAGTTATTTGCACCCACAACAGAGCAGACTATCTGATAAAAGACACAGTTGACCTTTAGTTTCCTCCAGATTTATCCAAATACCGGAAATCAACGATATTTGATTTCGTCGTTAGAAAATTCTCGCCAGTTCGAGACTATCATTAATTCTTCGAAATGTCACGCAACATAACTGAATCTTCTGCCGGTTAACGTGTGCTCAAAGCTCTGTCGTCATTTGCAGCCGGAAAATAATATTTTAACCGCAAAAAATAGTAATGTGACAAATCAATCCTGCACAAAGTTTGACAAAAAGGGGGCGGTTCAAAGCGTGGAGAAAGACTTCTCTTTAAGAGCCCTTTTCGCCTTTCAGAGATGCTATGGACAGCTCCGGAACTGCTTCGAGATATCACGGAGGTCCACATGGGGACGCCGAAGGGCGACGTGTATTCCTTCGCAATTATAATGCAGGAAATCATCTGCCGCTGTGCGCCATTTCCTGGATGCGAGCTGTCCGCGGCAGAAATTGTTGAGAAAATACGCTCAGCTCCCCCTATCTTTCGGCCGAATGTATGCGAATTTTTGACATTTTATTGTCTCTTGTGCATTCATACAGAGTTAATTTGAGGATTGAAACATGGAGGAAAAAGGCAGGAAGAAAGGTTTTAGTCCGCTGCCCTCCCCCCTTCGTCAGCATGTACTCATAAAATTCCGAAACATCTGTTCAGTAAGGCTTAGTCATATGACAAGCAGTGAAGTAGGTCATCGAGCGTTGAATTTCGATCTCATCAAGCGTGTTACAATAAGTTCCACGTTTAAATGTTTACAACGTCACTACGACTGTGAAAGTTCGATGCGAGTATGGCTCAGTCAGTAAAATATACAGGCCTTGCCGTTCTCTCCAGTCGAAGAAAGACTCGTTCTCTGTCGATCGAGAGGTGATAACTGGTAGGTTCGGGTGGATTTTTGTTCAGGAAAGACTAGGCGAAACCAAGAAATAATGAGCCGGTTGGAGTTGAATTAACCTAAGCGTGTGTATTTATGCCTGGTAATATCGTGCATTGTCTTAAAACGAAGAAGGTAGTCACTGAATGTTTCGGCCAGACCTAGATGAAAGAAGATGGCAAGTCATGATTAAGAGGTGTTGCGGGCTCTGCGCTCGAAAAGTTCTACTGATAAAATAGCATTATTAACAGACGTAACGTTCAGCGTCACCGCAATATTATCTTAGCAAAAGCCACGCGGAGGTGATTCTTTGGTTTAAACAGTTAACGTGTGTGTTACTCCAAACCCGTCCACTGCCAGGCAATGTGAGACTCCTGGAAAGACCTCGATCCTTGATAACTACCGGTTACACTTGGGGTTACGTGCGCGAATTCCTTGATTGAAATCTTGCCATTGTTGTATATCCATTATAAGCTGAAACGCGATGTATTGAAGAGTAGAACATAGTTGAATCCATAATTATAACTATATTGATGGAAAAAGTGCACACCACATAAGTATTCACTCTTTTCAGAGTGTGGCTTGTGCAGACGGCCGGAAAGAAACTTATTCATAAGTTGGCATCCTGGCCTGACTGAAATACCTTGGTATTATGCCATCTGATAATTAATATTACATAGTTAAGCAATCTTTTCAAATAAAAAACATATTTCAGAATTTCGGCTAGCACTTCATGAGATAGCGTATCTTTTCTAGACACAAGAGCTCGTATAGACAATCACAACAATTCCTGCCTCTCGTGGTGCACCACAAGCACCTGGCACAAGACTCTTGATTTTGTCCTGACGAACCTGTCAAAACGGGTGAATGTATGGACTGTCACTGTCTCGGATATAACTTAACACTGTCAGCACACGCCTGCGTGCAACGGCAACTCAGGATGTCGTACAGAACAGATCCGTCATCATCATCATCATCATCATCATCATCATCATCATCATCATCATCATCATCATCATCATCATCATCATCATCATCATCATCATCATCATCATCATCATCATCATCATCATCACCACCACCACCATCATCATCATCATCATCATTGCCCCCTTCTAAATGGAACTTTCCACGGTATTTGTAGTGCCTAAAATGCAATCAGTTTTTCAACAGCCGAGGACGTCTCCGGATATAGATGTGCACTATTTCTTTACTTCTTCAGTGTTACTCAGCCACGAACTTTCTTGAGAGATTGGGCCAATGTAAATAATGCAGATAAGTCCACTATCTCATATTGGAACTTAACTCCACTGCTTTAGCCAGCACGCGGGCGGTAGCAGATATGAATAATTCTGCAGTGGTTGCAGAAATTGAAGGAATTTTAGCATCTATCCCAGTTTCAGGCCGGGACACGGTCGATTCCTCTTGGGCTTGTAAGTGTGACTCGACACGCCACACAGGTGTTTGCACGGCGGCCGGCGATTAATGACTGGGAATTTTAGAGCAAAACAGAAAGACACTGGAATAAACCTTGTAGGGTGTGCCAGCACCTGAGATTGGAATATCACCAGCTGATGAAGGCTAAAAAACCGGACGTATCCATACTAATGTCCGTATTTCTTATAGATAATACTTTTTGACAGTTCGCAGTCTCAAAACGCAATCCTCTCTTGTCAGCTCGCTTTCAAATTCTGAGATTTTTGACAAGGCAGAACAGAATTGACGGTTTGATAGTGTTGAAATTGAAAGAGGTTCATGCACTGCTACAGAACCGCGTTGTCACAGCTACTGTGCCGTTCTGATAGATTGATTGATAAGAGACTATCGTGTAACAGAAAACATTATTAACCCTGACGAGGTTCTGGTAAAAGAGTACAGTGGTCTCGATTTTTAAAAATACTTTCAAGATTTATCACGTAGCACACACGTAGTGGACCTACTGCGGGCGCCAATCACGACGCTGCGCTTCTCGCGAGTGCTGCGGGTGCGTACCGTTGCAGCTGCAGCGGTGGGGCACACGGTGGACATCATCGAAACCGATGGTCGAACTGTCTTGTTTTTCTCCCGCTCACGGCTTTCCAACTGGCCAATCATCTTCAAGGCCGAGTCGGACGAGCTCTCGCCTAAGGTGGCGTGACGCACACCACACTCTCGCTTGGGAAGCAGCTCTCCCGGAGCCGGGCGTAGCCTCGTCCGTCTGCTAACGCTTTTTGTCCCCTTCCCCCGTTGTTCTGTGCAGAATGCACTATCCTCGCAACTGGCGTCTAATTCCTCTTCCTTTCATTTGGGACCGGGTCTTATGATCGTAGTGGCTTGGGTCTCTCTATGGCCTAGGCTGTTGAGACAAAATTTAAATAAACTACACGCCTGCCTTAGTCTCACTAATTCATACAATTGCCGGTATGATATATTTTTCAACCAAGACAAAAGAAGTACTCGCGTTGTTGGATATGCACTTTAGTCAGGTAGTATGTTATCATCAGACACGATTTAGCAACCTGTCGCCCTTCTTCTGTTGTACATTTCAAGTTGTACATTTCAAGTTTCAAGTTTTTCAAGTTCAGTTATAAATGTTCTTCAGGAGAGTTCGACGCATCGCACCAAATGACGAGGGGAGTTTATTTCGCTGAAACGATGACTGCCAAAGACCATATTGTTCTCCAAGAAAGTTCAAATTCTATTGCGACACGACTCCTGACAGTAGTGTGACTAGGGCCATCTTCTTGTGTTGCTTCTTTGGGTCTGTAGGTTAATGATGCAGACGCACCTCCAGTCTACAAGGAGGTAATGGAGATGGCCTGGGCTGAGAATCCTGACAACCGACCCACCTTCCAGGAATTACAAGACAAGATGAAGAAGATCTGTGAAGGACAGTAAGCGGTGACTTATTGGAAGCAACTGCTTCTCTCGTGCTTGTTTATACAACACATTTTACGGTTCTAGAAACCGCTGTTCACCACTATAAAAAGCCATTCATGTGCTGACACATAAGCAGCAAAAAGTACACACAGATTTATCTTAATATGATTTTATTAATTCATTCGATTTCATTTCCAAAACATCTATTATAATCCAGAAGACCATTTATGGAGCATAGGCGTGCTTTCGATAAACTGTCGTCGGACCCGTAAATTTAAATGGGAACGAGATTCAAATTGAAACGTGCGAGCCATAAGAGGAATTGATTACGGTTCGTCTTCATACAAGCGAGTGTGTGAATATGGGGAACGACAGGAAGAAGCAGTAAGTGGCAGTAAGGATGAGGTAGAGTCGTACCACAGGGAGAGGGGAGGGGAGGGGGAAGGGAGCGCGGAGACATGCATGCAGTTAATCGACCTTTAGCCTCACTAGACGCGGAGCATGCAGGAAATTCTCTCGCGCGCACAGTTATATTACATTGTCTTGGGAAAGGATTCTCAGGCAGCTAAACCATCTGAAAACTATTTAAAATAGTGCGCTTTAAAATTCCTCCTGGGATCATTGGACGATTTCGGAGTAAAATTGTCAGAACAGGTCTTGTCAGGTACGATGCCAAGTTTTGCGCTAATATTTAAGTTAAGTACTATCGAATTCTGCAAATAACCGCAAACCTGCAAGAACAACTCTATGGACACTGATTTATGCAGCAAACTCCCACGACAGTTTGACCGTCGTTGCCGACGATGTTCACCGTATGCTCCACATCAAGGTAAGAGCAGGAACGATTACTTTTACGTGAATAAGTTTATAATGGGGGCAGACTTGCACAGTATATACCGCACTCTCTCCTACGTCACCTGGATGCCGTGTCAAGACAGAGTCAAGAAGATCGGATGCGGGGGAGGGTGCAGGTGCATGGCGCGGTCAAGCCCGCAACTTGACTTTCCACTCCACACCCTCTGGTCCACATAGCAAATGACCAGCTTTTTGACCAACAACAGCAATAGGGAGGCGGCAGGGGCCCCAGTATGTGCGACCTCCGCCACCAACCGGATTCGCCACCGAAATGCTGGCACTTGTTATGGTGCTCAATCCGATAACGCCTGCCAGGATCCCATATGGCTTCCGTGTTGGTCCTGCGCATCTGTCACGTGGCCCGTTTGAGTAGCACGGCAAATTCCCTACAATACATTAAACGCATGTAGGTGACAAAAGTCCAAATGCGTGTTTCGTCGACTGCTACTGCCTCATCCTTGGATTACCCAGATTTCCCCACAAGATTTATTGAATAATTCCTACAAATCGACACTGTTGTACACTGTTTGGCAAAATCCACCCTAGCTGCGTCATATGGCGTTGGAAAAGCTCGGGGTCAGAATGATTACTTGATTGGCCTAATTTTATCATAGATTTTTGATGTCCTTACAAATTCATGCATATTGTATAGGAAATGCAATCAGAAATACCTTCTCTTAAACTAATTTGGTAAACTAAATCGTGCCATTTTCGACTTTTAACCGACTAAAGTGTGCATTTACGCCTAGAATAAGTATTTTAATTCCCGAATACTTTTGAGCTCGACTTGCCTTTGTACTTGCGTTTAGGACTTAGAGTCTACCTGCTGCATACGTCCTCGGTGGGGAAAATCATACATTCCTCTGCGCCATTACAAGCACGCCATATAGCGCTCATGAAATATTTGAATGGATGTGGACTATGTTGTATACTTCGCGACGAGTTTTAATAAATGGACAGATACAAACATTTTGAAATGGGATCTCCGTTTCTTAGAGTGTAAAATTTCATCAAAACGTGATTTTCTATCAAACGAGTATAATAAAGTACATTATGCGCGGGTTTTCTTTAAAGTATATGTTTAATTATATGGACGCCGAAAAACAGGGTAAAGATCCATATTACTGTGACAGTTACCTTTCACCGGTACGATTTTTTAAGCTGTTAAGAAGGAATGCGTTCAGAAACCCGTATCCTGGCATGACTGAGATATTCAGTGATTATGTTTCGCAATAGGCGATATTACAACTCCACTTAATTATTTCTTCCTAGTCAAAAACACATTTAAGATTTTCTGTTAACATTACATGAGATTGGTCAATGTAACTCCGGCGGTGCGCCGGTGGTTGGCTCTTCAGAAATTAAAATCGCCTTCATCATACACTCGGGATTAGTAATCACTGCACTCTGACTCCTTCGCATATTTCACATATCTTGTAGAAAGGGTAACATCATGGACCACATGATGTACATGATGGAATTGTATTCGGCAGATTTGGAAGCCCAGATACAAGCGCGGACAGATGAACTAGAGGAAGAAAAACGAAAGACTGAAGCCCTTATCGCGAAGATGCTACCACTGTAGGTTCTAAACTTGACTGTCTTTCATTAATATTGCTTTCTCATAACTTGCTATTTTGATTCATGCTTTTAAGAGCCGTATCTTACACACCCCCGAAACCTAGTTGACAACCAGTGAGGTGCATTAAAGGATAGGAGGGCTCGTTCCTTCCTATAGACACTTTCGAAAATTTCCAAACCTCATCTAACCGATTGACCTGTCAGTTAGGCATCGTCTGTGGACATTGCGTCGACTGGTGCGCATTCGTCGGAGGACGCCCATACGGCTGGAAGATCCGATGGTCTGGCCCACTCCTGATTTCGTCGTTTGAGTTCAATTGATAAGCATAGTCGTTGTTTACTATCATAGCATATATTTAAAGGGGCCACTTTGTTGGCAAAACCAACTGACCACGGCCAAGTTCTTCGAGAAGGCTGATGTGGCAGACAAAGCGGGAAGGAAGTGCCTCACGCCTGACAGCAACCCATGGACACTTTTATTTTTACCACGGGAAAATCGGCAAACGAAAAGCACACTCTACGCTTTTAATTAGCAGATTAGGAAGTGGAAGATGTATGCCATCTACTGTCGCAAAACCTCAGCCTGTAAGTCCAGAATGCGGCCTAGTGATCATATATTTGTTTGTCAGAGTTACTCATTAGCTGGAGCCAATGTCTCTATGGGTGGAAATGTATGTAGAGGCAACTAGCTCTTATAGCGTCAGCAGTCATACACGTTTTGTGAGACAGATGGTTGTGGTGTGTATGGGGGCGAGTAGCAGTAATTTTTCTCCTCCCAACAAGATTTATGGCTCAGGCTAAGTAGCTTTTGGCCTTGGTAAATGTAGTATTTGTTCCAAGCACTTGCAGGCGCATTGAACCTGAGCGTACAACTTGAATGATTTAACGGTGTTGTTGAACGAAAATCAGGGGCCCGACTATATCAATTCTTTTCTCAGGCATGGAGGACCCGATCATTGTATGTTTCGGACAAAAAGATTGATCGAAACTTTGGGACCCATACTCGGATGATCCATGAAGACAGAACTGGATCCGCCGACCTCGTGTTTAGGCGGGAATTCAATTGGCAACATTCCGTACAGCAGATTAAATGCATATGAAATGTATTAGGCCTTACTGTGGGCAAAGCACGCAGGTTTTTTACTTTAATCAGATTGGCATGAACGTACGATAAACTGCAATGACGGCGGTGAGCGCCACTTTACCATTGTGCATTCCCGATCGCAACCGACGGAACAACAAGCCCGTGGCTTAGTGGTTAGAGGCGTTAGACTTATAACTAACAGGTCGCGGGATCGAACCCCAGAAGTCCCACACTTCGGGATTGGACATGACTGGCTGACGACGGCTAATAAGCCAGAAATGGCCATTCCGATCTCCCTTGTCTTTTTCAGTAATAACATTCTGTAATGTCGGCACCGACATGCCTGCCAAGCAACCGAGGGGGGATGTAGGGCTGTGTGCAACTGAATGGGAGCGTCGTAGAAGATGCCGACGCATAGAGCGGGCAGGACGAGTGTTGCGGGAGGGGATTGGTTGGTCATGAAAGAAGGGAAACCGGTTATCTTCACCGACAGGCGGTTACTCCATCTCTATCCTGGATCCGCGTCAATAGCGTTCACCCCATTCAAAAAACCCAGTACAGTTTGTGGGACGCTACACTTGAGCAGTATTGCCATGCGAAAAATATGACTGGCACTTTTTCATCATTGCCAACCTGAAGAATGCACATTCTTTTTCCAGATCCGTGGCACAGGCTCTGGTTGCTGGTGAGTCGGTGGATCCCGAAGCCTTCGACGAAGTGACCATTTACTTTAGTGATATCGTCGGATTCTCCGCTATATCCGCAAGGTCCACTCCGCTACAAATAGTGAAGCTCCTGAATGGCCTTTACTCAGTTTTTGATGCAAACATTGAGAGGTTTGATGTTTACAAAGTACGTGCATATGGCAAGATCTGTCTGCATCACCTTAACTACTAGCCCAAAACTAGAACTCCATGTTTCTTTATATGATCCTCTCCAAATGCTTATCATAAGATGTAAAGTCGAAATTTTTTCTCATCTGAAAAGTGCGCGCGTTTTTTCTTAGAGGAATGAAGTATCAGAAAAGACTAATGTAAGTGTGTGATACCTCTTAGGTGGAAACTATTGGAGATGCATACATGGTGGCTTCTGGTTTGCCGATACGCAATGGACGAAACCATGCTGGCGAAATTGCGAAAATGGCCCTGGAGATGTTGAGCATAAGCGGCCTTTTTGTTATTCCATATTTGCCAACCATTCCTATCCTCATGCGCATCGGTATTCACTCAGGTGGGTCCCAAAACACAAAAGCAGTTTTTAAAATGGTTAATCTTCTTCCAAGATCGCTTTGTTTCACTAAATAAATATGCGGTCATCGTCTTTTTCTAAGGAATCGTCCTCGTCAATATTTCGCAGATAAATCGATCCCTCCACGGTTTCCAAAGGTTGAAGTAATGAAGTTATTTCACCATGAACCACAAGACAGGTGAAAGCCAAAATCTCAGGCATCAGCTTCGACAATAGTTTTTATTGCCGTACTAAGCAACTGCCTGGTATTTGATTCCTCAATGATTCCCGATATTCCCCACATCGTTTTAGGTATAAATCCAGGCAGGAGATGTATGGTCATTTTTTTCTCGAAAATTAACGAAATAACTTAAAGTGGGGCCGTCTCAACAGGGCGTCTTCGTTATAATCTCATTTTTAAGTTGTTGTTGAGTTGCGTACAATCAGCGGCGTAGTGTTTGCGCTTTCAAATTCAGCAATGGCACATCCTACACACCCAAATAATCGCTCACCAATTAACCTGACCGCAGAGCTAACTAACAGTCCTGACAGTAAATTTCACCAAACTAACACAAGCTGACTTAGCGGGGAATAGGAATTCTTGCGGTTGCTCGACAAATTTTCAAAAAGTAGTGAAACACCTGTCAGGACTGCCGACAGTACCTATGTGGGAAGCGGAATAGAAAAGCATGTCCCATATAGGAATATTCATAATTTCTATTTTTAATTTGGCAGTATTGCGCCAAATTTTCAAAGAAAATGCAGACTGTATTCAACCTGTCTTGTTCTGACGATTTTACCCTTTGCTCGTCTGGCAACTTCTGGCGACATTGTAAGGGCTAAGCTGAAACCGCACGCTAAACACGATTGCAGAATCCACATTGGTATTAAAGTAAGTGGAACTGATCAGTAACTTCATTTTGTGTATTCATGCTGAAACAGTGCTGATTGCGCTGTGAAATTTAAGAGGAGCCAATCACGCACATACGCGTTGATTAACAAATTATTTCAAACGTTTCGGTTTCAGTGAGAAGCTGTACCCGTATGGTCCGCACAAATTATCTTTTTTCCTTTAAAGGCCCCTGCGTAGCAGGTATCGTCGGGTTGACCAATCCGCGCTACTGTCTGTTTGGAGACACCGTCAATACAGCGTCTAGGATGGAATCGGCTGGAGAAGGTAACCATTCACGACAAAAGTTTATTTACTGCGACAAAACTTACTTGCCGAAGAACAGAGTAGAAACCTGCTAAGGGTGTGGCATGCAGACCTTTCACATATGTTTAGGGTGCAGGCTGAATCAGTTTCAAGATTCCTATAGTGAAAGGATAAGTACGCAAGTCGCTTTTCCTTGTCCTATCAACAATCCATCATGTGACTATGCCAGTGCAAAAACCGGAGCTTTCAGAGGCTCCAGTCAATTTCTGATGGCCGGTCGTGTTCAGGATGTATAACAAAAACGAAAGCCTGCCTTGCTTAATTTTCAAGGAAATTAATGTGTGGACTTGGAGTAGATCCTTTGGAACAGACATTTTCAGGCTCGATCCGAATGTTGATATAATTATTTTTGTGACGTTATTGTAACCAACAGAGAGTCCAAGGATGTTTATCTACATTTGCCTTAGTAAAACTGAGCTGAGCCGAACTGAATAACTGTGTAGTATTCACAAATTGTCAGCGAGCAGCAAGTAGCATACAATAATATGATTATTTACCATACTGACAAAGATGAAATAAATGAGCCATCATGGATAGCATAACTGCTTTTCAATTGAGGGACCAGAAGGGTTCTTTCGTGGGAAATCTCCAGGTCTTAGTGTAGAAGCTAATGTTTCCATCGAAGACGGCTTACCCGCAGTTATTAATGCTCCAAGGTGCCCTCGCAGAGTGAGACCAAAATAACAGTTTGACTTCTGAAGGAGGACAGTACCAGAAACGTCGGCCACTACTTGGAAAATTGCAATACATGCCAGTTTTTGTACCATTTTCTTAACGCGTGATGAACTAGTAGGAGTCCCATTCAAAGTTGCAACGCGCTTTAAACAGCCAATATTTTGTGGTTCATTGTTTCTGACATTGCTGCCCTTCGGGGATTCAGAGGCTTCCTCTTGAGTTCTGTCTCGCATGACTGAACTTTAGCCATGCGTTTAAGGACTCTCGCTAATTAAAAACTGGCCATACCAGAGAACCGAGAGGGACGACATCATCATCATCATCATCACCATCATCATCGCCATCATCAACGACAGCGGCAACAAATTTTACCTTATTTGATAAAATATTCATACGGACTGAAAAACAGTGTTTGCATTTCCACCCCAACCTGCCATTTACAGCACTGCGTATTCATGTGAGCCCAGCAACAAAGGTAATCTTGGATGAGTTGGGAGGTTACAAATTCGAATATCGCGGCAAAGTGAGCTTAAAAGGCAGAGGAGAAGTTGAAACCTACTGGCTCGTTGGGAAGGAGGGATTTGACGGTCCGTTGCCGACACCCCTGAAGACTGATGCGTAAGTCTGGCCGTTTTAATTGCTGAGTAAGCGCAACTCGTTAAGTAGGTCTAAAGTAGGAAGACGTTTCGTTCACTAATCGATTGTGTTCCATAGTTGTAAACCTACTCCTTCTAAGCACATAGATTTGGTCCATAAAAGTTTAGTTCCGAATAACATTAGAAGGGTCCTGTGGCAAAGTAAAAGACACTGTATTCTTAAAAATCAGACACCAACATGGCTTGATTCCTGGATCCTATCGGTCTCTTGTGCTAAATGTAGACCTTTTCCTTGAAATGCTGTATTATGGTGTGTTCGTGTGTGCAAATGGAAAACTAAGGCCGAAGGAAGGCCGTGGAAGTGCTGTTCGTCCCAGTCAGTCTGTCGGACATCAAACAAGGTCGAAGAAGTGAGAATTGTATCCCGAAATGTGATGCCCAAATTGTGGCGTCCTTAAAATTGAAAATAGGCAATTATAAAGTTAACCTCCATTGCCATTTGAGCGATTAGAAGGATCAGACAACACATGCAGCATTTGGATTAAAAGGTCAAGCACTTTGGGAAATCTAGAGAAATTTGATGCTGCACGCTTTTGGACGAAGACCCTCTCCTGAATTTGTAGATTCGAATATATCCTGAATTTGCTGAGGAATGTGGAACCCCTGCCGGATGATCTCAGTGGTACTGACGGAACTGCCGCACAAGTGCCTGGTTCACAGGCGAACCAATTTGTTCGGGAGACAAGCCAATGGGTTGTTCAGCACACAGCGGAGATGGAGAAACAACGTGGTCGAACGAGCTGGTCGAGGCGATCGCATAGGCCTGAAAATGGAGAAAGCAGCAGGACCAACTCAGCTGCATGACAGTACTCGCCGCATCTCATTTCTATCTAACACACCCTAAGTAGTTTAGCGCTGTTTCCTGGGGAGCAGATCGCGGCTTGGAAGCTGGTCCTCAAGAAAACGAGGGTAGACTACTTTTTCTTTAGCACCTCCCTCTCCTTTTGTTGATTTCATCCTGTAACCTGCCAAAAAATCTTCATAAAATAAACAGCAGCTGGCAGATCGTAACTGAACGTTTGTCTAGATTAAAGTTCAGCCACAACAGCAGAAGCCGCATTGTCAACATTCTAGTCTGGTTTCCAACAGAGACTTCAGATAAGCGTGGAAATGGAGGTGAATTTTCGAGTTCTAGGTGAGTGTATGAGTAAAAAGAAGAAGACTGGTCGGGCAGCAGAAAAATTTTTGATTATTTGAGTCTCCGAACTCGTATAGGAGCCCACTGTCAGAGATGACAGCGGAACAAGTAGCAGTCATAGAGGACATTAGCCAATCAGCAGTAAATGACGCAGGCCTCTGTATGACGGCGCCAGATCGGTACATCGATTGATTAAGTTATCATCCGAGGCCCAGTCTTTAGTCAGTTTTCAGTTTGTCTTGCTTCTGCGTGGGGATTCCTCTTGACGGCTGTAAATTCGAACTCAAACCCCGTTTCGAAGGCGTGGGCAACCACTTGCAACAATTCGTAATCCCGTCGTACAGCTAACTTATTTTCGTGTATGCGCCATTCCAGCATGAGTTCAGTCTCACCTGTGTAGTTATAAAGGTGGTTTTGGCACGGGATGCTATACAGTATCGCAGACTGCCACTTGTTACTTAGTCGGCCCTGCCTTTTCATGACCCTGCTGCTCATGGTAGCTTTGAGCCGGTGTGCGATTCTGACACCTAGTTCTACAGCAATGCGTTTGGTGGTTTCTGAAACATCCTCAATGTACGTCAGATTAGGGCATATCCTCGGTAGTCATTCTGTCTTGGACCCCTAGGGGAAAGAACGCATAGGCGTCAGTTTATAAAGGCCCCCGGATAGCCGCCCTGTATAAATTAGTCGCGGAACTATCGGACCTCACGTGCTTTTGCAATGAGTCTGAGTCCCCTGAGAAGAAGTGTGGCGTCCGTTGCTTTCCGCCATGTCGCTGTCTCTAGCTAGCTCTTGGGACTTCACCTGACGAGCATATCAAGAAAGGGCAGTCGCTGCTCCTGTTTTTCTCACCTCATGGATTGCAGGTCAGGAATGGTTGCATTGAGCAGGTTACGGAAAGGTTGCAGCATTTGCTCCCTGATGATAAAAAACGTGTCTTGAACGTTACTGCGCCAGAATATCGTCTGATGTTGGATGAAGGCAGACTTTTATAGCACCTTTAAGACCAGTTTTAACACCAAACTGGAGACCTGGGAGCTCATTGCGGTTCCGTTGATCTGCTCATACAAAAGGCTAAGTAGGCTTTCTCGGAAAATTCCGAAAAGTCTCATAAGATGCTCAACTTTGAGTGGACTCTGGGTTTCTTTGTATGCCTATTCAAGTCTCTTGCGCAAGACATCGTGCCCCAAATTCAATTTGATAAATGTGAATAACGACGTCAGGTCCAAAGAGACAATGATTTCGTTCGATTTTATCCTCCGATCTCTGGGGTCTGTGAGAAATTAAGAAGCTGATCGAAATGAGGTAGTCGAATTTTCTCGGACTTTCTTCGCTCTTGGGTACACCCACTCCGCCGAATTATAAGCAGGGCTGCCTTTTGGACCAACGATTGGCTTCGGTGGAATACTTTGTGTATTTTTGCGGACCATAGAATCAGGCCAAGGCAGCGTCCGTTGCTTTCATCTGGTGCCATTCATTCTCCATGGTCATAGTTTTGCTTCAAAATTCTCTGAGTAGTTTCTTCAATCAATCTGCTACTGTTTTAATCTGAGAGTTCGGTGCAGCTCTTTACAACTCTCAGTTAATAATGAGGAAGTTGGAGGTTCGAATATAAGCCGACCACAGGGGAGAATTTAAATTTTTAACTACTGATAGGCAGAAAGTAGATGTTTTAAGTAAACGCTACTGAATACGAACCCGTTACCACCTCCCAACCACTAGGGATCGGCAATATCTAGAGGTGATACTCATCACCTAACCTGACACGGTTTTTCGACAAGGACTAACGAATCAAAGGGTGTATGTCTCGAAAATGGAATCTATCATGGCTGATGAGATTAAGTTCAGAAGAGAGGCAAAATAAGGATCAAACCGGGGTCGTAGGAGGCCAACTCACAACATCTATTCGGAAACTGAAAGACTGAAGCTTCCTTAATGAATGAGAATTCGGATCTCTCGAACCAACAGGCGCAGTCCCCAAGGTTGTACGGTTTGTCAAAGATTCTCAAGCCCAAACTTCTTGTGCTGTCGATATTAGACGTGGGCAATTGGCCTTATCACACAACTGTAAAGTGGCTAGCCAAAAGACTTAAGACGTTTTGACGCAAAGTAGCACCACGCAGCCCACAGGACAATTTTGAATCTATTAATTCCACAGGAAATACAAATCTCGGTGGGGAGACAATGCCATCCTTAGATGTTTCGTCTCTGTTTGCTAATGTTCCCTTCACAGAATCAGTAGGATATTTATGTGGCGAGATCGATAAGCCGGAGTTCACAACTGGCATACCTGCCGTAACCTTAAGGGAACCACCCTTTCGTTGCGCGCTTAACATTCACTATAGCTTCTATGGCCAGTTTTACTACCAGATCGACGGGGTAGCGATGGGATCACCCCTTAGACCCCTAGTAACAGATGTCTTTACGAGAAACCTAGAGAAGAACCAGCTCTGTTCAGTTGTAAAGGACCTTGAGTCCTATGCTCAGTACGTTGGTGACATTGTTGTTAAGACAGATAAGTAGCTTGACTTTGACACCCTCCTGAACAGAGTAGATTAAGCCCACCCAGCGTCAACCTTTGCTTTGTGGAAGAGTGCGTTCCCCTTCTGGACGTTCTTCTTGTTAGGACATCTGAGGGGACAATTCGTAGAAGCGGATTTCAAAAGAAAACGTGGAGAGTGTCGTACAAAAATTTCTGCAGTTTTGTTCCTCGAAGTAAAAAACGAAGCTTTGTCCGCTACCTAACTAGCCAAGCCAGGAGAGTATGAACTCCGGATACTCTGGTGATCGAACTCGTCTTTATACGCAGTGCTCTGCGTGAAAATGGTTTCGTCAGTAGGTTTGTTACGAGATATACGGAAGGACGTCCCCCAAAAACGGACGTCTCAATGGCTAAGAAGAAGGAACTATTTCTCACGGCCATTTCGAAGGGACCTGGAAATCGAACTTTTACAATGTCGCTTAAAAACTGCTATCGCGCGCACGCACCTAACCGTCAAGTTAAAAATCGGTCGGATCGCAATGGACAAGTCCCAGCCTAACTCCTAACCCTAACCCCTCAGGCTAACCGCTAACAGGTACGGCTACGAGATAGGATCTTGCCTAAAATTCATTGCCTCAAGTACACCGCTTCCTTGCCTTTAAGGTAAGGCCACGTCTTGAGACTTTTCCAATGTGTATTCACGCCTTCACTCCCTCTTGTGAGAAGTCTATATTGGTCGAATGACTATGCGCCTACCTAAGCAGATATGAGGGAACCACCCCACCTGTCTGGCTCAAAACGTGGAAAGGTCTATCTCTAGCACATTTGTGGCTCACTTGGTTGACAGCAGCCACCGAGTAGACCTCAATCAAGCATTTCGAGTCATCTGTAAAACACTGGCAAGATTTACCAAATTCCCGAGTCAGCGGATAATTGCGACGGCAGAGATGGTGGCCGTACGGCTAGCCAATCCAATCTGGTGCAGGCGTTGCTTTAGGCTCTCAAGTTCCCCTGGCCCAAATTAAACCCCTCATGTTCGTAACTGTATCCTGCTACTTCGTGTTATAGTGACGAAACATAAGCATTACTATGGTAGGGGTGTTCCACACTTCAGGATCGGGTATGACTGGCTGACGATGGCCAATAAGCCAGAAATGGCCATTCCAGTCTCCTTTGTCTTTGTCGGTAATTTCATTCTGCCTATAAGCATAACTCACCACTTTTCATAACTGCATGGTTCTGGCACGCCTGAACCCTCTTAACCCTCCCACCGTGACTACTGTTCATTGTAAATTATCAGTTTTGCTACTCTATCGCGAATTACTTGTATTATTGCATAGACCTGACGAGGGATATACGTTCGCCAAACTTGACTTCATCAACTTAAATTTGTTCAAAAAACCGATATGAGACCAGCAACGCAGAAGTCCAGAACACAGAGTGCGTCGCGGCACCTTAAGCCGTAGACAGACCCCAGCCACTACGACTTTCAGGTCCGGCCTCGAATAGGAGGCGTTTGACGTCTGTTCAGAGGTACTGTATTCTGTACAGAAAGATTGGAGAACCGGCTGGAGTAAGTTGGCAGCCGGCGGCGTCGTGACAGCGTGGTCCTGAAAGACACTGGGGACTGTGTCACAGCGTCTTGAGGGGGAGCCTGCCCGCGTCGGCCTTAAGGATGATTGACCAGTTTGGACAGCCGTGATTGGCCGAGAACCAGACTGCTGCTGGTGCGCACGTGCAAGTACTCATGGGAGGCATGTTGCAACAGGGGCCCGGAGTAGGGTCACTACAGGTATAATTGGTGAAAATTCACCTTAAACACGGTTAAATCAAAGTAGGAAGAAGGTAAGGTGAGGTTTGGTTCTGCAGCTCCACTTGATTGAAACCATACGGATAGCTTCCTAAGACAATTTTGGGTAACATACACATCTTAACCACTCACTGGATTAGGAAGGTGGAGAGAGAGCAAGCAGAGCTTAAAGAACACTCAGGGAAGCCCGTGTGAACCGAAGCTTGGTGCAACTGAAGATGGCATGTACACACTCCCTGCGACACAGCCACTTGCTGGATTAAGAGGATAAGCAGAGTGCAATCACAACTGGAAGGCCATGGAGGGAGCCGCGTGCCAATTTGCAGTACATGACCCCTATGGTGGAACCGACGGAGTTTCAGTCCGTCCGAATT